TGCCACCCCTCAGTGCTGCCTCGGTATCAAACGCTGCAGTGCGGGATGGCAGGCAGCTGGTCCATGAGGGGAGCCAGACTAGCTCCTGCCTGGCAACCTGCACTGCTGACTCTGATACAGAGGAAGCAGTGCTGGTGGCAGGGGGTTCCCCAAGAGAGGGGATGAACTGCACCGGCTGCTGGCCCCACCCCTGGGGAGTATAGAATGGTCAACCAACCACTAAGAATTCATGCAGTTAGTTGACTATTCTATTAGCTGATAGCTAGCATCCCTAATGACCAGGGCTTGACAAATGGTGGCGAAACCTACTCGCCAGCCCCACATTGCGCATGCGCACGCCGCCGGTGAACCAGGTGACCAGCTGAAATCTACTCGCCACGGGTGAGTAGATTCAGTGATTTGTTGAGTCCTGATAATGACTACTAAGTCCTTTTTTCTGCCAGGGTCCTGTGAGCTTAATGTCTTTTAGTTTATCTCAGAAATCTTGATGATCATCTATTGTAAACTTCTTCACATTCTTCCAAATCACATAACTTGCCACCCTAAAGATGGTTCAACAGTGTGTTTAAGTGAAAGTCAAACACTTTAAAAAGGGAAGGTAGTGATATAATATAAAGTTACAAACCAACTGCTCCAGGCAATCCAGGCAAACCAGATATTCCCTTGGGGCCTTTGGGACCTGTCATTCCCTGTAGTCCGTATCCTGGTGGTCCAGTGAGCCCCATTTCTCCAGGAGGACCTTGATTACCAGGCAGTCCTAGTGATCCTCTGTCCCCTTTCAAACCATCCAGTCCCTATTAATAATTAGATATATTTGCATAGTGTGCATTACTTATTTTCTATGTTAATTCCATCAGCAATAGGTTTTGATACATTGCACTGATTATGCTTTCACACTGTTTCAACAAAAGAGTAACAGCATCAACTGAAGCAAAGTACTTCTGACTTAAATAGTGTGATATATAAAATTGTCTGTTTATGGTATCCTTACCTAAATCTGTGCCTTTATGAGATCCCAAAAGAAAATGCAATACTACTGCAGGGATATAGGAAGTATTTGCCCATTCTGGGATACTACTTTCTGATCCTCCAAGAGAATGTACCTCTTCCAGTCCAAATTCTGAGAGACATTTCAACAGCTAATACTAATAAATAGCACCTTTCATGCTCTAATTTATCTCTCTATATATTTTAAAAGAGTCTGTCTGTGAGTCCGTCTGTTTGTGAGTCTGTTTAAGAACTCCTCCTAAACAATAATAGCTAGGACCACGAAATTTGGTATGCAGCTTCCTCTTATTCTAACTTTAAGCAAGGTCTGTATTTGGTTGTTGCAGGAAAATGGGAAGTGCCAGGAATTAAATTGTTTTCCATAAAATGGAAAAGGGGGTGCTGATTGGAGGGACACAATATTGCACAGTCACCACTAGGGGCAGCGAGTGCGAGGGACAGCTATACTGCAGAATAATCACTGGGGTTAGCCACCCCAGGAAAGGAGTGGCCAGCTGGGGATGGGACTCGCCATCTTGCCAGCCACTGGGCCAGGTAAGTGGTCCTATTGTCCCAAACCCTTCCCTCCCAGTCTTTGCCCCTAGTGCTGGACAGGGGGTAGCTAAACCACCCTGCCCCTTCCCCCAGACCACCACTAAGGCCAGGCAGTGCAGCCCTGTCTCCAAGACCCTGTGGTGCCCCACTGCAGCACAGCTGAGCTATCAGCTTGGCCTCAGAGCCCGGAGCGCTGCTGGGGCTGGCATGTGTATCTCCCCTCTCCTTTCCCTGGGCCAGCCCAGGGAGTGCAGTTGAGGCTGGCCTGCGTGGCTCCCCCCTTCCCAGACCTAGAGACCGCTATAATCCCATTGGGGCAACAAGGAACAGGGATAGAGAAAGGGGCAGCTATTTACTATATAGGGGGACATGCACTCTCTCCCTTGGCTGTGTCCACTGGAGTTGCAGCAGCCATGGGCAGATTCTTCTCACCTGCCCTCTAAGCTGATGCAGTGAGAGAGGGCTGGGGTTGTCCTTTCTCTTTAGGGCAGCCTACTTACTGAATCCCTGTCCTCTGGCCCCATCCCAGGCCAATGATTTAAATGAAGAAAAACAAAAATTATTTCAGTTAAGGACCTGGGCAACAGCAGGTAAATCCTCTAGTAATCATAACAAACATTACACACACACAAACATTTCTGTACCATGGGAAATTCTGGTATTTTGGTCCAAACAGGGAAGAAAAGTTCAAATATCAACATTCACTGAAGAATAAAAAGTGCTGAAAATGTTGGATTCCCCTAACCCTTAATTTAGCTGCAGAACAATCACCGTCAGTACTTGATATCTTTTATGTTTTATGCATTTTAAAGCCAGACGGGATTGTCTAAACTAGTGCAAAACACACCACAGAATATTACTCAAGTAATTCCTGCATCAAGGCTATATCTTGTGGTTGGGTTAGGGCACTTTTAAGTTTACTTTGCCAACTTTACAGATGTTACAGTGTTTTAATTCATATATAACGAACAGGGTTGTGCAATGTATCATTTACTTAGCTTTCTATTAATTCTAAAATAATTGAAAATAACGTATTCCAACCCGTTCGCCTTTAATTCCTTTTGAGCCTTTTGAACCATGATTTTTGTGCAATCCATCTGAACCTTTCCGTCCTGGATTTCCTCTGATTCCTGGATCTCCTCTGTTTCCTTTTTGCCCTTCTGAATACACATATCCTGGGTCACCTTTTGGCCCTTTCATGCCTTGATCTCCTGGTATTCCTGGAAGTCCCTAGGACACAGCCATTTAGAATTTCCATGTTAGATTTATGTCAAATAACTTTTTCATATCAACACAAAGGCCACGTCTACACTATGAGATAAGACTGAATTTATGAGTGACTTTCTTAGGCAATTACTTAGGTGGTTCATCGCAGCGTTCCCTGTAAGCTGGGCAATTGGGCACCCACCCAGGAGAGATTCCAATGCCACCCAGCAGATTAGCAAAGCACCCACAGCTAGGTTTTGTGTTTCTACTGGTAGGCACATCATCACATGCCTCAGTTCACATATCACAATGTATTCTGCACATGAATGGAAAAATTAGAGGGAATATTGGTACCAGGATTTTAATTTTTTCTTTGCTAATTACACTAGTCAAATAAGAATTAATTATTATTTTCATTTGTTTCTTGTCCCTGAAGCTGACAAATTAAGTTAGGGGGCCAGATCCTTGGCTTTGCTTTTTCCCCTTTGCACTACCTTGGTGCAGCAAATGATGGCTTATATCACTACGATGGGGATTTCCTGTTGCATGCCAATGCTGACACAGATAGCTCTGTCACTCACTAGGGTCCCCCAGTGTAGAGGCACTTGGAGACTGGTGTACTCTGGTGATCCTAGGCAGGTGATCTGATGATTGCAAGCTCTTTGGGACAGAGATGATCATTTTGTTCTGTGCTGTATTGAGTCCAGCACAGGTAGTCATAAAATCATAGAGCTGGAAGAGACCTCAGGAGGTCATCAAGTCTAGCCCCCAATCCCAACTAAATCAACCCAGCCAGGGCTTTGTCAAGCCGAGACTTAAACACCTTTAGGGATGGAGATTCCACCACCTTCCTAGATAACTCATTCAAGTGCTTCTCCACCCTCCTAGGGTGTGTCTAGACTACATGGCTCCGTCGACGGAGCCATGTAGATGAGTGTACTCGGCAAAGGGAAATGAAGCGGTGATTTAAATAATCACTGCTTCATTTACATCAAAATGGCCGCCGTGCTGTGCCGATCAGCCTATTGTTGTCCCCACAGCATGGTAGTCTAGACGAGGATCAGCCAACCCCAGATCCCTTTGTTGTCAGATCCTGTAAGCCTTGTTTCTGCCATCTGAGGTGTAACAGTTAACTCAAACTAAGGACTTAGTTCGAGTTCACGTTTGACTGCCACATGTAGCCGCGAGCAGTAGTTCAGACTAGGGGGATTTAAAAATGGCGCCCGGACGGGAAGATGCAAATAAAGCCCAGGATATTTAAATCCCGGGCTTCATTTGCAACTTTGAATGCCTACATTAGTCTCCCTAGTTCGAACTAGGGGGCTAGTATAGACATACCCTGAGGAAGTCAAAGTCTACTATTCTGAAGTCCCAGGGTATGTATTTTGCTACTCTCCTTTCTTCCTTTGGTCAGGATCCTGAAATCTACCATCTCATGATCACTGCGTCCCAGGTTGTCACCCACCTCTACTTCCCCTACTAGTTCCTCCCTGTTTGTGAGCAGCATGGCCCCTGGTCGGTTCCTTCAGCACTTGTACCAAGAAGTTATCCCCAACATTCTCCAAAAAACTTCCTGGATTCTCTGTGTACTGCTGTATTGGTTTCCCAACAGATGTCAGGGTGATTAAAGTTGCCCATGAGAACCAGGATCTGCAGTCTGGAAGCTTCTCTCAGTTGTCCAAAGAAAGCTTCGTCTACCTCATCCACCTGATCCGTCGGTCTATAGCAGACACCAACCACAACATCACCCCTGTTGCTTCCACCTCTAAATTTAATCCATAGACTCTCAACAGTCTTTTCTCCCTTTAAGTACTGGAGCTCTGAGCAATCATACTGCTCTCCTACATACAATGCAACTCCTCCTCTTTTTCTCCCCCGCCTGTTCTTCCTGAACAGTTTATACCCTTCCATGACAGTGCTCCAGTCATGCGAGTCATCCCACCAAGTCTCTGTTATTATCAAATCATAGTTCTTTAACTAGGCTAGGGCTTCTAATTCTTCCTGTTTGTTTCCCAGGGCTCTCACATTCGTGTACAAACACCTTAGATAACCAGTTGATCACTCTGCCTTCTCCATCCGAATCAGGGGTCCTCCTTTGTTGCTCGTTCCTCCTTGTGATCCTTCCTGGTATCCTGATCTATGACTGGGGCTCCAGGCCACTCCTGTAGTTTATATGATAATAACGAATAGGGGGCCACTACTGCTGGTGCAAATTGAAGCAGACACTAGGCAAATCCCTTAAAGGTGCTTTCCAGGAATCTTTGTCTCTCAACCCAGCCAATGGAGCTAGGGCTTCACACCCTCTAAAAGGGGAGCATACAAGCTAGCTTTGTCTGCGTTAACTGGAGCTCAAGGAACCACTGTGCTTGCTTGAAGGAACATTGATTCCAGAGTTCCTAAGAATCAGAGCTGGCGTTAGCATTTAGGGACGAGCCACTCAAACATTTCCACTGCTCTGTATGGCAAATGGAACCCCATGGCTTGCACTGGGGTCTAAGGACAGTCATCAGCATTAAGAACAGGTTCATAAAGGAGAATTATCTAAATAACTATGGGTATGTCTACACTACCCCCCTAGTTCGAACTAGGGGTCATACAGAGTTGCAAAGGAAGCCCGGGATTTGAATTTCTCGGGCTTCATTTGCAGAAAGCCGGACGGCGCCATTTTTAAATGCCGGCTAGTTCGGACCCCGTGCTGCGCGGCTACATGCGGCACGGACTAGCTAGTTCGGATTAGGGGTCCGAACTAGCCGGCTTTTAAAAATGGCGCCGGCCAGCTTTATGCAAATGAAGCCCGGGAAATTCAAATCCCCGGCTTCATTTGCAACTCCGTATGACTACGTTCCCCCCCCTAGTTCGAACTACGGGGGGTAGTGTAGACATACCCTAAGTGGTTTCAGGTGCATGTAGTGAATTTTAACATACACGTGTGTTTTGTACATATGAACTAGGTAGTCTCCACAGCCACCTTTGACTGAGAGATAAGTATCTTTGTCATCCCCATCTTTATTTCACAGCTGGGGACACCAGTGTAGAGCTTTGACTAATATGACAGAGGAAGTCAGGGTCAGAGCATTAATTTGAACACAGGAGGCTTTTACTTTTAGTTCCCGCTAAAATTCAATAGATCATGCTGCCTCTCACATTACCGAGACATCCATTACCAGAGGCTACAATGGCTTTTCAGGAGATGGCCTATAGACCGACAGCTAGTAGAGAGGTATATAACAGTGACAATGTGGACAGCTCTGCCCTCAAACATGCACTGATGTGGAGTACTACTAAAAATCAAAGACCAATGAGCATGTCTTTCATGAAGCTCAATGGCCATTCTAGGCACAGCAGCATTCAGTGATGTGTATTCCCTTGTGATATTCGGGAATAAGGTATGTTCCACTTCCCGCCCTAAGGAGTGGTTCCCATGGATTTATATTTTTGAGTATATCTTTACAATGGGAAAAAAAACCCTACAGCACACTATTCCACATCTCTCCCCACTTTTTAATGAAAAAATGAAATTAGACCTAATTCTAGGCTTTGTAAGTACCACCTTCCTCGAAGGATCAAGATAAAAAATAACAGTATTCTGCATATGGCAATAAAACTAAACACCACAATTCTCAGCTCACGAAAATTCAATATTGCTGACAAATCCATTTAATATAAATCTTACTTGAGGACCTGAAGGCCCTTGTGCCCCTGGAGAACCTCGCAATCCTTTGGGACCACTTGCTCCTTGTCCACCTGTGACAGGTGAAAGATAAAGGAATGAAAAACAGATATGATGGGCTCTGGTACTAACACACAATACAGAGAACTGCTGCCTTTCTGATACAAAGTATAGCAATTATACATCAGTAAACTGCCCTGGAAGATAACTCTGAACAACACATAGGTAGATGTATACAGAAATCCCTCCAGTACACTTTTTATTTTGTAATTTCTTCCTCTCCAGTATTAATTTCCTGGAAGAATTACAATACACTCTCCCTAATACAGGTTTTAGAGAGGCAGCCATGTTAATCTCTTTTGGCAAAAAAATGAGTCCAGTGGTATCTTAAAGACTAACAAATTGATTAGGGCAAAAGTTTTTGAGAGATACAATTTGCTTCCTCAGATGCTTTAAGCGAAATAAAAGCTGGGATACAGAGATGGGAATGTACTATCAGTGCTGTGGTGTGGCACATCTTCAACAGTGATGAGAAGGTGAGAGTACATGAAATCTAAGACCAAAAAGAAAACAGTGCTGAGAAGGTGAGAGTACATGAAATCTAAGACCAGAAAGAACTACTGTGATCATCTAGTTTGACTTCCTGTATAATTTAGTTCATAGAAATTCCTCAAAGTAATTCCTAGAGCAGATTTTTTAGAAAAACAACCCATCTTGATTTAAAAATTGTCAGTGATGGAGAATCCACCACGATACTCAGCAAACTGTGCTAATGGCTAATTACGCTTACTGTTAAAAATCTACACCTCATTTCCAATCTGAATTTGTCTAGTCTTAGCTTCCAGCCATAGGATTACACTTTACCTTTTTCTATACTAGATAGAAAAGCCCATTTTTAAATTTTTGTTCCCCATGTAAATACTTATAGGGTGCGTCTAGACTGGCAAGATTTTGCGCAAAAGTGTCCGCTTTTGCCCAAAAACTTGCCAGCTGTCTACACTGGCCACTTGAATTTGTGCAAGAGCACTGACTTTGTAATGTACAAAATCAGTGCTTCTTGCGCAAATACTTTCACGCTCCTGCTCGGGAAAAAGCCCTCTTGCGCAAGAATACTTGCACAAGAGGGCCAGTGTAGACAAGGAAGAACTGTTTTGCGCAAAAAAGCCCTGATGGCTAAAATGGCGATTGGGGCTTTCTTGCGCAAAATCGCGTCTAGACTGGCCACGGATGCTTTTGTGCAAAAGCACTTTTTGCGCAAAAGCATCCGTGCCAATCTAGACACGCTTTAGCAGAAATACTTTTAACGGAAAAACTTTTCCGTTAAAAGTATTTCCGCAAAATCATGCCAGATTATACGCAGCCATAGACTATAATCAAGTCAACACTTAACTATCTCTCTGTTAGACTAAAGCAGTGGTCTCCAACCTTTTTATACCCAAGATCACTTTTTAAATGACAGACCAAGCCAAGATCTACCGCCCCGCCCCTTCCTTGCCTCAGGTACGTCTACACTACAGAGCTAATTCGAACTAACTTAGTTAATTCGAACTAAGCTAATTCGAACTAACGCGTCTAGAACTAAAAACTAGTTCGAATTAGCGTTTTGCTAATTCGAACTAGCATGTCCACATTAAGCGGACCCTGAACCGAGGTTAAGGATGGCCGGAAGCAGTGCCGGCAGGGCATCAGAGGAGGACTTAGAGCGTGGAGATGCTTTCTCGGGCTAGCCGAGGGCTGCGCTTAAAGGGTCCCGACCCCCACCCCGGACAGTCAGTTCTCAGGGGTGCCCCGCTTGCAAAGCAGTCCTGGCTTGGAGTGACCTGAGTACCCACACTGGGCACATCACACCACTCGGCCATCAGCCCGCCTGCACTTGCCGCAGGCGGCCCTTCTGGGGGGGGGG